TTTTAAGGTGTGGTTTCACCGTGATGGTCATTCTGGTCTTGAACTCCTGACCTCAGGTGATCCACCCACCTCGGCCTCCCAAAGTGCTAGGATTACAGGTGTGAGCCACCGCACCCGGCCAAGAAAAAATTTTAATAATCACCATCTTTAAGAATTTTTTAAAACCTAAAAAGAAATACATATCCAGTGTAGAATATAACTTCCTAAAATTACTGAATAATTCAAATACGATGTAAAATAATGTCTTTATCTTACAGTTATTGTAATAGCAATTATTTTAAAAACTAAAGGATAGATGATACGATGATAGAATATTGTTTAATTACTTGTCTCAACTACTCCAGAAAGAACTGAAATCAGTAACAGTCTTTACTGATAGTTATTATAAATCAAGATGCTAAGAGCTAGACTAGACAACCTCAGTATGAGAGCCAGTGACAGAATCAAGCCGAATACCTAGTTGAATGCCCACTGTGTATTAGATTACATAACACTATTTTGACATAGCTCATAGCTGATTGTCATGGTGGGAGGGGTACTGAAGGAGACATGTTTCCTACACTAACCATACCCAATGATTATAGGTAACTAAGCCTTTTTAACCTGAGTTTGTATTCTAGGTGATGATTTTTTCTCAGGTTCAGATTTAGAATGGGGCTGAAGCCATTGGGAAATAGCCCTTTTATTTAGTTTGGTACTTCTCTAAGGTATTGGGTTCCAGCTTTAACCTTAAGACATGAGAAAGAGATGTTACATTCAGATTGTCTTGCCTAAGAAATATAGGGCTAAGATATAGAAACTTTTAAACTTGGGAAGTAAAGTATAGGAAAATAACTATAAATATGTACAATAGGCTTTAAGTAGAAAATCGTTTTCATGACAAATGATATTTCTATTGGAATTACTGTGAGTGAAATGTTTACCAAGCATCCTTTGCGTATCTGTTGATTCGTTTATTTAACAACTCCCAGGTTAGATGCAAACTTAAGGAAAAAAAGGAATGTGTCAAATATGTAATAATCACTTAATCCTAGTAGAATGGGAAAGTAATAAAAATTTAAAATATGCTTTAAGACTGTAGCATCTTCAGACAGTATAGAATAGTGGTTAAGAGCTCCAGATCTTCAAAGAACTCACAGTCACGTGGAGCCTTGCTTCCCTTTGTGATTTTTGAAAGCTGTTTTCCTGCCGGGGCGCGAGGGCTCACTCCTATAATCCCAGCACTTTGGGAGGCTGAGACAGGCAGATCACCTGAGGTTGGGAGTTCGATACCAGCCTGACCAACATGGAAAAACCCCATCTCTACTAAAAATACAAAATTAGGTGGGCATGGTGGCACATGCCTGTAATCCCAGCTACTCGGGAGGCTGAGGCAGGAGAATCACTTTAACCCTGGAGATGGAAGTTGCAGTGAACCAAGATTGTGCCATTGCACTCCAGCCTGAGCAACAAGAACAGAACTCTATTTCCAAAAAAAAAAGGTGGGGGGGCTGTTTTCCTAAGGTGCAAGTCTGAATGCCAGAACCCCTGTCTTTAACCATTTCAGAGGTAGATGAAAATTTACATTGCTTAATGCAATTCTGATATTGGGGGAATTATTTGCATCCTGGTAAATTATAATTCCAGTTCTTTTTCTACTTTTCTATTAATGAGCTTTACATTATGTAGCTTTTTGAAGGTATCTGTCTCTTGGAAGGAAAAGAATACATACACTTGGAATCTGGAATATTTTCTATGAGTAACCTATGAAGGGCCACTGATGCAATGAACTGGTAGGTTGTTTTTGAAGTCCTCTCAAATGGAGTATGAGATGTGCCCCGACTAGAAATGAGCAGTGCATCATTGAAGAGAAAAAGGCTGAGATCGCGGATGTGTTCATAGAGCCTGTGTTAAAATGGAAAAGGTGCAGTTTTAATATATACATAGGTGCTTTGTTACATAGTTAATCATCTTGAAATTGATGGTCAAGGCTTTTACCTCACTACTGACATTTTGAATGGCTGGTTAAAGTTCTCAGTATAGTATTCCTTCTGATGTGATTCGCCCCTCCTGTGTCTCTGAGGTCAGTACTATGGGCCATCAGGGCTCCTGGTGGAGTACTTTGAGTTTGTCCATGGAACAAGTATTTCATAATCCATGTGGGAAAAGTGAACACTGACTTTCCCTTCTTTATGAAATGATTTACTTTATATCTGTGCTCTTAAATTTTTTTTTTTTTTAAGATGGGGTTTCTCCATGATGGCCAGGCTGGTCTTGAACTCCTGAACTCAGGTGATCCACCCACCTCGGCCTCCCAAAGCGCTAGGATTACAGGCGTGAGCCACCGATGTGCTGTTAAATTTTTGTCAGTGTTAGTATTTTGAAGTATTTGGGCAATCTGAAGGAATTAAGTATTTGTTTTGTTCCCCCCCCCCTTTTATTTTTAATAGCCAGAGTCTCACTCTTGTCACCCAAGCTGGACTGCAGTGGTGCGATCTTAGCTCACTGCATCCTCCGCCTCCCTCAAGCAATTCTGCCTCAGCCTCCTGAGTAGCTGGGATTACAGGCACATACCACCACACCCGGCTGATTTTTGTATTTTTAGTAGAGATGAGGTTTCACCATGTTGGCCAGGCTGGTCTCAAACTCCGGACCTTTTGTTTCACCTTTAAGGATAGCAAGACTGGGCGCAGTGGCTCACTGTAATTCTAGCACTTTGGGAGGCTGAGGCAGGCGGATTTCAAGGTCAGGAGTTCTGAGACTAGCCTGGCCAACATAGTGAAACCCCATCTCTACTAAAAATACAAAAATTAGCCAGGCATGCTGGTGCATAACTGTAATCCCAGCTACTTGGGAGGCTGAGGCAAGAGAATCACTTGAAACGGGAGGCAGAGGTTGCAGTGAGTTGAGTCCGCACCACTACACTCCAGCCTGGGCGACAGATTGAGACTCCATGCTCCCCGCCCCCCCCCCCCCCCCGCAGAAAAAGGGATAACAAGTTGAAGTAGAGAGAGAAAGATAAGAACTGATGGGGCATTTAGATACTATGTAGAAGTAAATATAAAAATTTTTACTTTTGATTAAAAAGTAACTAGTAGATAACCCAATACAGTTCATCAGTTTGGAAGGTAAAAATTAAACAGTTCTTTGTTTTCACTGAAGTTGCTACCATGGTCAACTGTAGGCCTTATTTATGAAGGGGCAAAATTTGGTTTCCTCAACCTCCCATCTGTTATCCTCTTTGCTTTTCTGTCATTGGAGCCTGATTGCTGTGTTTAGCAGGGCTCACTGTACTCTAGTATGGGTTATCTGTCCTGTAGGAGTGTTCCTCTTAGCTCTTCCCAAAGGAATCTACAGTCGGTTAGCAGAATGTGCATTGGAGAAAATGTTCCTAGGCTTCTCAAGGATACTAGACTTTGATCCAGAATTGATTCATTTTAGGGACCCCAGATGCCACTGTGATCCACCAGGCTAGGTGATAAAACAGTTTTGACTCAGGTCAACTCGCAGTGGACCTGATGGCCTGCTATTATCCATGAACTGAAACTTTTTTTTTTTAGACAGCTTCACTCATTGCCCAAGCTGGAGTGGGGTGCTTTTCACATTTACTGATATCTTGCAAGGAATATTGTGCTAGATCAAGTCAGTAGGTTCTTCTGAGAATAAAGGAGTGAATAGAACTAAGGATGAGAAAGAGAGGAAGCAAGAAAGGCAGGAGGTATGTGATGGGCAGTATATGGTGGGTGGCCATTTTGAATAGGCAAAAGAATTCTACCATGATCTTGCTTTTTTGGGGGAAGGGGGTGCAAAATATATGTGTGTGTGTGTATATATATATATATTTTTTTTATTTTATTTTTTACCTTACCCATAATAATTATTTCTCCTATCATAAAAGTTTAGAAACTGGGCTGGGCACGGTGGCTCATGCCTGTAATCCCAGCACTTTGGGAGGCCGAGGTGGGTAGATCACATGGTCAGGAGATCAAGAACATCTTGGCCAACATGGTGAAACCCTGTCTCTACTAAAAATACAAAAATTAGGTTGGGGACACATGCCTGTAGTCCCAGCTATTCTGGAGGCTGAGGCCGGAGAATTGCTTGAACCTGGGAGGCGGAGGTTACAGTGAGCTGAGATTGCACCACTGCTCTCCAGCCTGGGCGAAAAGAGCGAAACTATCTCCAAAAAAAAAAAAAAGTTTAGATAACTTTAAATCTGTAATAGAACTTTGCTGTATCCGAATTATCAGGGAATATGCCAACAGAGTGGTTTGAAAAAGTAGCATTTAAAAAGGTACTTGCTTTGGAAAATTGATGTTCAGTTTTTTCCTTTGGAAGGGACAACACCGATATTAGAGGTAAATGACAGAGAATTCCAGTTTTGTGACCCACTTGGACCTGGTAGATGGTTGGCCCAGGAAAGGATGGAGCAGCCACACTAACTGGAGCTTAGAATTGAGTCTTTTTTAATCTGAGGACATGAGTAAGGGAAAGAAACACACAAAGAGGTTGTTATTTCAATCTCTTTCTGAGAGGGCTATTTTGTATATGATTTTTATCTGGAAAAAAACTTTTCAAAAGCCATTTACTAAATTAAGCCCCTCAAGATCTCCAACCATTTTTATCCACAGACAAAACACCAGAAACTCTAAAAATTTAGTGGTTCCTCTAGGTAGGCAAAAGCAAATACAGTCATCCTTTGATATCCGTGGGGAATGCATTCCAGGACCTCTTGAAAATACCAAAATCTGAGGGTGCTTGGTATTTGCATATAACCTGCATATTGTCTCTAGATTACTTATGGTGTCTAATACTACATAAATACTTATACTATATTGGGGTTTTGGTTTTTTAATTGTATTTGTTTCCTTTTAATGTTTTCCATCCTCAGTTGAACCCATCGGTGCGGAGCCTGCAGATATGGCTGTAATTTCACCTTTAGCATTGACATAATGGAGCAGCTGAAGTGGCCCCTACTAGTGTTTCAGAAATCTGCCTCTGCTCACACTCAGAACCAACTCCAGTGGTGGGTTTTCTTCTGAACTTGAATAGAGCTTCTTTGCCTATTTACAAATAGGTTCAGTGATTCCACAAAATGGAACACAGCTACTATAATGTAAATTCTTAACTCCATTCTAGAAGTGTTTTGTTATTGTTATTAAACTACTGTATTAGCCAGCCCAAGAGACACAGAAAGGCAGGAAGTACCCAATTTATATAAATATATAAAACTTTAAAAGAAAGTTTTAGGCTGGACATGGTGGCTCACACCTGTAATTCCAGCATTTTGGGAGGCCAAGGCAGGCAGATCATGAGGTCAGGAGTTCGAGACTAGTCTGGCCAAAATGGTGAAACTCCATCTCTATTAAAAATACAAAACTGAGCCGGGTGTGGTGGCACGTGCCTGTAGTCCCAGCTACTTGGGAGGCTTAGGCAGGAGAATCACTTGAACCCAGGAGGTGGAGGTTGCAGTGAGTGGAGATCACACCATTGCACTCCAGCCTGGGCAACAAGAGTGAAACTCTGTCTCAAAAAAAAATATTACAGTACGTGGACAACAGCAGGTCATCAGCTCCGCTGTGAGTTGACCTGAGTCAAAACTGTTTTATCACCTAGCCTGGTGGATCACAGTGGCATCTGGAGTCCCCAAAATGTGTCAATTCTGGACCAAAATCTAGTATCCCTGAGAAACCTGGGTACATGTTCTCCAATGCTAAATCACTGTAGATCCCTTTGGGGAGAGCTAAGAGGAAAGTTTACAGTGTGTCTTTTTAGCAGTATAATAGGGTATTTCCCCAAGGAAAATTAGTCTGGGAAGTTGATGGCTCTATTTGATGATCAAGGCCAGGCCTATATTTACCAATCCTGAAGGCACCACTTTCATACCTTTGGCAAGACTCCACTGGAAGAAAAAAAGCATGCTTAAAAGTCAGCAAGTTTTGGCCACGTGCAGTGTCTCACTCCTGTAATCCCAGCACTTTGGGAGACCGAGTTGGAAGTATCATCTTGGCCCAGGAGTTCAAGACCAGCCGGGACAGCATGGCAAGACCCCATTTCATTAAGAAAAAAAATTATCAGTTTAAAATCACAGACATAAAAATCAGTGTTTATGAAAAAACAATAATACAGAAGTTCCAAGATACATAATATATTATAAAAAGCTTAAAATGCTTGAAATAGTGGCCCATGTCCCCAGAGGAACAAATTGCCCTCTGAATTTCCCAGCTCTTAACATGATTGTATGACTTCATCTCTATTTTAAATTTTTTTCATTTAGAATGCAAACACTCGTTCTTTCTGTGTCATAGTTCTTGTTTGTTATTTGTGGCCAGGTGCAAAGGCTCATGCATGGCCAAGATGGGTGGAAGCCAGGAGTTTGAGATGAGCCTGGCCAACATGGTGAAATACCATCTCTACTAAAAATACAAAAAAGTTAGCTGGGCGTGGTGGCACATCCCTGTACTGCCAGCTATTTTGTAATGCTGAGGCACAAGAATCGCTTGAACCCGGGAGGCAGAGGTTGCAGTGAGCCGAGATCACACCACTGCACTCCAGCTGGGTGACAGAGCAAGACTCTGTTTCAGAAAAAGAAAAGATACTTGTTTAGTAACTGTTAACTATGTTAGTGAGATTATTATGAGGAAGGCTTGGTTCACCTTTCTGCCTTCTGGTCTAATCACAAGAAACACCACTGCCTGTACACTGAGATACTTGGTTCTAAATTCCAGACCAGCACTTATTCTGACTTTAGGCAATTTACGTAAGCCAGATTCTCCACCCATAACGTGGTTCCTGTCCTAACTGCCTTATCAGGTAATTGTAATTAAATTTATCAAATGAGAGAAGTTAACATTTATGGTAAAGAGTAAAGCCTTATATAAGTTGGTACTGTATGTATAAATACA